GTGAAAATGATACAAACTGACGCATTTGCCAATGTAACCCAATCAAGTGCATGGGATGGCTCCATAACCGCTTTGCAACAGTTGCAGGAATAGAAAAGGGGACATACCACCTCTGAGCCTCTTATCAAATGCCTCTGAAAAGCGATCTTCTCTCTTCAGAGGGATTATAGGGCTTTGAGAGTAGGGGTCAGAAGTCATCTGAGGTCTTGTCACCGGCGCCCAGTCTCACAACACACAATTATTATGGGGTAGCATCTGTCAGACCTCAGGTGACCTCTGACCCTCTCAGAACCAAGAGTCAGGTTGGCCATACATTATAAAACCAGATTGTACAATTTCCATTAGATTTACCACAGCTATGTAATATGAGGACAAGCCCAAACAATCCATAATAATAAACCAATGGTCCAGATGATGACCCCTGAGCCCTATACTGGGGATGGTCCTGCCTAAGGGCCAATGCTAAGGTAATAGTTTGACGGTCTCTGTCAAACCCTTTCTCTACTGGCCAGTATGTTGGGGCCCAAACCCAACATTGGAGCAGTCAGATAAAGAGCCCCCTAACCCAAGTATAGGCACCAGCAGTGTCCCAAGCAAAACATACTGCTCCTGTTTATTAGGGTGCGGTAGGGTTTGACCAGTGGCCTCTCACCAACTCCTGGGGTGACAGCTGGTCTCCCCCAATTCTCCTATGGAGGCTCCATGAAGTCAGCAGTAGCAGCGTTTTCCCCAGCACCAGTCAGTGACAGTGGGGTTACCCCAATGATCAGGTGGCAGCACCAGTCAGTGACAGTGGGGTTCTCCCCAATGATCAGGTGGCAGCACCAGTCAGCAACAGTGGGGATTTCCCCAATGATCAGGTGGCAGCAGCACCAGATCAGCAGACAGTGGGGATCTCTCCAATGATCAGGCCGCAGCACCAGTCAGTGACAGTGGGGTTCTCCCCAATGATCAGGTGGCAGCACCAGTCATTGATAGTGGGGATCTCTCCAATGATCAGGTGGCAGCACCAGTCAGTGACAGTGGGGACAGTCAGGTGGGCACCAGTCAGCAACAGTGGGGATCTCCCCATCAGGTGAGTCAGCAACAGTGGGGTGGCAGCACCAGTCAGCAACAGTGGGGTTCCCCCAATGATCAGGTGGCAGCACCAGTCAGCGACAGTGGGGATTTCCCCAATGATCAGATGGCAGCACCAGTCAGCGACAGTGGGGTTCCCCCCAATGATCAGGTGGCAGCACCAGTCAGCGACAGTGGGGTTCCCCCCAATGATCAGGTGGCAGCACCAGTTATTACAGTGGGGTTCCCCCCAATGATCAGGTGGCAGCACCAGTTATTACAGTGGGGTTCCCCCCAATGATCAGGTGGCAGCACCAGTCAGTGACAGTGGGGTTCCCCTAATGATCAGGCCGGCAGCACCAGTAGCGACAGTGGGGTTCCCCCAATGATCAGGTGGCAGCACCAGTTATTACAGTGGGGTTCCCCCCAATGATCAGGTGGCAGCACCAGTTATTACAGTGGGGTTCCCCCCAATGATCAGGTGGCAGCACCAGTTATTACAGTGGGGTTCCCCCCAATGATCAGGTGGCAGCACCAGTTCAGTGACAGTGGGGGTCTCCCCAATGATCAGGTGGCAGCACCAGTCAGTGACAGTGGGGATCTCGTGACAGATATTCGCTACTCCGCCTCACTACGCCCCTGATGTGGTGGCAAAGGTCAAGTCTCAGATCTTCCCAACAGGCCCTTGTCACTCCCAGAATGCCCAGCTGTCTACATCCCCTTCCTCTGTGCTCCCTGGTAGTGGGTGGGGCTTATATGTGCACCCAGCCCTAGAGGAACACTCGTCTCCATCCCACAGCCGCTCCATACGTGACACCTTAGGAGAGGAGCAGCAGAGATAGCAGCCCGGTCGCTGGTGCCAGGATAGAGCTGCGCTGTGGATCAGGCACGACGCATGCAAATTTACAGAGAACTGATAAATGTGAAGTTAATGACACCAAAATGTAATTTATGGTGCAAAAACAGCATAAAAATACCCCAAGTGTTCCCTGTAATGGATTGCTCTCAGTGCCTTTGTGTTGGACATTAAATCTGCCAATTAAATCAGTAAACTGAGATTATATAATAAGTACTTGCGACCGTAAAACCCGCCCTGGACCGATCCCGCTTCCTCTGCCAGATTGTAGGGCATGCAGCAAAATGTCGCAGGACTTCCAACAACAAAAAATTCTATTTTCCTGCAAATCTGATCTTCATACAGGCTGGCGGTCATAATTCACCCGCAGCCATTTCTGTGCAGGATCGGCAGCGCCAAAGTATTACCACTCAATAAGGGGCGTGAAAAGGATTCTTTCCCAGGTAAGGCTCACACAGCTGTATATTCCATGATAGGGCTCAGTCACTTGGCTGGCTGGAGGGTGGTAAAAATAGATGGCTGAGCAGCAGCCCCCATAAATCTGCAATGGTGGCCAGACAGGGTTGTAGACATGGCGGGCAGGATCTAAAACATTAACATTTTACCGATTAACTCAACCAGGGGTCCTCAGAGGTTGTCAGGGGTTCCTTGAGCTGTAGACGATTGACCTTCCATCTGATCATGTTCATAGGTCCAGGTCTAAACCCAATTAGCAGAGCCAGAAGCATGACACCATTGATCTCTCTAGTTATAAAGGAGAGCATTCTTCTCGTCTTCTCACTGACCCCCAATGTAAGGGACATTCTTCCCACTGACCCCCAATGTAAGGGACATTCTTCCCAATGACCCCCAATGTAAGGGACATTCTTCCCAATGACCCCCAATGTAAGGGACATTCTTCCCACTGACCCCCAATGTAAGGGACATTCTTCCCACTGACCCCCAATGTAAGGGACATTCTTCCCCTGACCCCAATGTAAGGGACGTTCTTCCCCCCAATGTAAGGGACATTCTTCCCACTGACCCCCAATGTAAGGGACATTCTTCCCACTGACCCCCAATGTAAGGAACATTCCTTCCCACTGACCCCCAATGTAAGGGACATTCTTCCCACTGACCCCCAATGTAAGGGACATTCTTCCCACTGACCCCCAATGTAAGGGGCATTCTTCCCACTGACCCCCCAATGTAAGGGACATTCTTCCCACTGACCCCCAATGTAAGGGGACATTCTTCCCACTGACCCCCAATGTAAGGGACATTCTTCCCTTCCCACTGATTCTGACCCCCAATGTAAGGGACATTCTTCCCACTGACCCCCAATGTAAGGGACATTCTTCCCACTGACCCCCAATGTAAGGGACATTCTTCCCACTGACCCCCAATGTAAGGGACATTCTTCCCACTGACCCCCAATGTAAGGGACATTCTTCCCACTGACCCCCAATGTAAGGGGACATTCTTCCCACTGACCCCAATGTAAGGGACATTCTTCCCACTGACCCCCCAATTAAGGGACATTCTTCCCACTGACCCCCAATGTAAGGGACATTCTTCCCCACTGACCCCCAATGTAAGGGACATTCTTCCCACTGACCCCCAATGTAAGGGACATTCTTCCCACTGACCCCCAATGTAAGGGACATTCTTCCCACTGACCCCCAATGTAAGGGACCATTCTTCCCACTGACCCCCAATGTAAGGGACATTCTTCCCACTGACCCCCAATGTAAGGGACATTCTTCCTGACCCCCAATGTCCCGACCCTGACATTCTTCCCACTGATCACCCCCAATGTAAGGGACATTCTTCCTGACCCCCAATGTAAGGGACATTCTTCCCACTGACACCAATGTAAGGGACATTCTTCCCACTGACACCAATGTAAGGGACATTCTTCCCACTGACCCCCAATGTAAGGGACATTCTTCCCACTGACCCCCAATGTAAGGGACATTCTTCCCACTGACCCCCAATGTAAGGGACATTCTTCCCACTGACCCCCAATGTAAGGGACATTCTTCCCACTGACCCCCAATGTAAGGGACATTCTTCCCACTGACCCCCAATGTAAGAGACATTCTTCCCACTGACCCCCAATGTAAGGGACATTCTTCCCACTGACCCCCAATGTAAGGGACATTTTTCCCACTGACCCCCAATGTACGGAACATTCTTCTCACTGACCCCCAATGTAAGGGACATTCTTCCCACTGACCCCCAATGTAAGGGACATTCTTCCCACTGACCCCCAATGTAAGGGACATTCTTCTCACTGACCCCCAATGTAAGGGACATTCTTCCCACTGACCCCCAATGTAAGGAACATTCTTCCCACTGATCACCAATGTAAGGAACATTCTTCCCACTGACACCAATGTAAGGGACATTCTTCCCACTGACCTCCAATGTAAGGGACATTCTTCCCACTGACCCCCAATGTAAGGGGCATTCTTCTCACTGAGTGCAGGTATTAGGAATGTGTAAGGTACAGAGTGTAGGGGTCTGGAGTATGTAATGTACAGAGTGCAGGTATCAGTAGCATGTATGTTACAGAGTACAGGGTCAGCAGTGCGTAAAATGCAAAGTACAGGGACAATTGTATGTTTGATCGTATGCATGTATGTGAGTGCAAGTATGTGGGTGTCAGTGTGTGTAGTTTAACAGTTTCTCCCTCATGTGGCTCCACGCTGTGCCTGCCTCCCATCGGCAAACCTTGTGCCCAGGCCAGCTGCCCTCCCCCCCATTATGGTTGCGGTGGTCATGCACATCATTGTTTATGGTGGGCTTCACAGTATGTTGTTGAAGTACAGTACAAGAAAATGAGCCTATGGCAAGATGACTGAGCAGCCGGGTAAATCAATGTATTCCAGGATTCCATACAAACAGCTGAACTGCAGCGAAGTGATCTGATATCCATTGACATTGCATGCGTTAGTAGACATCATATACTAAGATACTTCCTCATAAATGGGAGGCTTGCAGGAGCGTTCCTTGCGGCAATACAATCGGTGATGTGACAGGGTTGGAGTGACGGTGACGGATGGCGCCGTCAATGGAAATCCAGCAATACGCAATTCATTGTCACCACATCCAGGCTCTCATCCAAAGCTGTTCTAACCTGATATGTGATGATTACGATTGTTTGAAATCCTCCCTCCGGCCTCCCCTCCAGTCTTGCACAGGTGTACCGGCTCCTCCCCTTCAGTCTTGCACAGGTGTACAGGCTCCTCCCCTCCAGTATTTCACAGGTGTACTGGCTCCTCCCCTTCAGTCTTGCACAGGTGTACCGGCTCCTCCCCTCCAGTCTTGCACAGGTGTACCGGCTCCTCCCCTTCAGTCTTGCACAGGTGTATCGGCTCCTCCCCTCCAGTATTTCACAGGTGTACTGGCTCCTCCCCTTCAGTCTTGCACAGGTGTACCGGCTCCTCCCCTTCAGTCTTGCACAGGTGTACCGGCTCCTCCCCTTCAGTCTTGTACAGGTGTACTGGCTCCTCCCCTTCAGCTCCAGGTGTATCGGCTCCTCCCCTCCAGTATTTCACAGGTGTACCGGCTCCTCCCCTTCAGTCTTTTACAGGTGTACTGGCTCCTCCCCTTCAGTCTTGCACAGGTGTACCGGCTCCTCCCCTTCAGTCTTGCACAGGTGTACTCCTAGCTCTAGCATCATCCAAAATTTCCCCTCCTAAAACAATTCTTACCCCCTGATGCTTCCAAATTCCCCCTCCCAATACAAAGCCCCCCCCCCCCCCATTCTCCTCACAGTGCCACCCCACCTCACATGATACCACAGTACCCAGGGCAGCCGCCCCTTGTCCTGGCCCCTTGTCCAGGCTCCTTGTCATGGTCCCTTGTCCTGGCCCCTTGTCATGGCCCCTTGTCCTGGCCCCTTGTCCTGGCCCCTTGTCACGGTCCCTTGTCCTGGCCCCTTGTCCTGGCCCCTTGTTCCGGCCCTTTGTCCCCGCCCCTTGCCACGGTCCCTTGTCCCGGCCCCTTGCCCTGGCTCCTTGTCACGGTACCTTGTCCTGGCCCCTTGTCCCGTCCCCTTGCCCTGGCCCTTGTCACGGCCCTGTCCTGGCCCCTTGTCACGGCCCCTTGTCACGGTCCCTTGTCCCGCCCCTTGTCCCCCTTGTCCTGGCCCCTTGTCCCCCTTTCACGGTCCTTGTGGCCCCCCCTTGTCCTGGCCCCTTGTCACGGTCCCTTGTCCCAGCCCCTTGTCCTTGCCCCTTGTCCTGGCCCCTTGTCACGGTCCCTTGTCACGGCCCCTTGTCCTGGCCCCTTGTCATGGCCCCTTGTCACGGTCCCTTGTCCCAGCCCCTTGTCCTTGCCCCGGCCCCTTGTCCTTGTCCCGGCCCCTTGCCCCTTGTCATGGCCCCTTGTCATGTCCTGGCCCTGAATAATACACCATCTGAGCTGATGGATTGTATTTTCCTCTTCTATTTGAGGCCATAATCTGCCCCCCTCGCCACCTATTGGCCCTAATCTGCCTCTCCGGCGTATGCGACGTCTATATTACGCTGCCAATTCATCAGGAGGATGTACCGCCCTACGAGACTAATAGAGCTCATATCTTCCAGGGAACCTTCGGCTGTAATTCAGTTTTCGGGCGGATCTGCCGCGGGGTGACTTTATCTCCGAGTCTTTATTCTGGCCGGGGGAAGCTGCCGCCTGACATGATGATGGATTTATTATTACAGTAACAGAATTATTTTCATGATTTTTTTTTTCAGAAATATTATCTTTACGGCCGCAGACAATTAGAGGAGGGAAATAATGACATCCCTTATGCAAATACAAGGCAGTTGGAGAGAATATGGAGCCGTTCCTCTATATACAAGCGGGGCGTGGATAAGGGGGTACCACCAGTCCTCCTGTATGGGGCCCAGGCAGCTGGGTGAACCGGGTGTGAGCAGGCAGGGTGATCGGCACGGGGGAGGGGCAATTACTGGAACCGATCCCCTGTATGACTCTCTCTGCAGCAGCTGAAAGCCGGCTTCTCCTCCTCTCCCTCCCGCTGGTTTTCAGCTGCTGCAGAGAGAACCATACAGGGGATCGGTTCCAGTAATGGCCTCCACACCCCATCTGCTCACAACCGATTCACCCACCTGCCTGGGACCCCCATCACCGCAGTGCTTCTGGCTTCTCCTCCTCTCCCTCCCGCTGGTTTTCAGCTGCTGCAGAGAGAGCCATACAGGGGATCAGTTCCAATAATTGCCCCCCACACCCTACCTGCTCACAACCGATTCACCCAGCTGCCTTGGCCCCCCTGTGTGCCCCTTCCTTTCCTGAATGAACTCCCTATGTCAAATTTACCAGCCCCTTCCTTTCCTGAATGAACACAATGAGAGATTGAAACCAGCATTGGTATGAAATGCACTGATCGCTACCAATCACTCACTGTGCTTATTCACAATGGTAGCATAGTAAACTGTGTTTTATGGGAAGGGGGGTACGGGCAGGGCTGTGGATAAGGGGGTACCACCAATCCTCCTGTAGGGGGCCTAGGACAGCAGGGGGGCCCAGGCAGCTGGGTGAATCAAATGTGGGCAGGGAGGATGATCGAGGGGCAATTACTGGAACCGATCCCCTGTATGGTTTTCTATGCAGCAGCTTAAAGCTGGCTTCTTCTCCTCTCCCTCCTTTCAGCTGCTGCAGAGCCATGCAGGGGATCATTTCCAGTAATTGCCCTCCATCACCCTCCCTGTGCACCATACATTTCCATCTGCTGTCCAGGCCCCCTGTGTGCCCCCCCCCCCCACAGTGCTGCCGGCCTCCCCCCTCTCCTTCACACCTGCAGCTGCAAGCACACAATAGGATCACTCAGGATGGAAAGTGGGGGGAAAGGTTCGGTAAAAATTTCACATTTACCAGCCCCTTCCTTTCCTCAATGAACACAATGAGTGATCAGTAACAATCACTCACTGTGTTCATTCATAACTGAAGCCTAGTAAACTGTGGGGGGGTTTTGAGCAGGAGGGGGGCCTGTCAGGTTGGCTGTATGGGGCCCCGTGGGTTCTAACAGCAGCCCTGGGTACGCGAGCCCTGTTAGGTTGGCTGTATGGGGCCCCGTGGGTTCTAACTAGAGATGAGCGAATTATTCAAAAATTCGATTCGGCTGATTCGCCGAATTTGAGGAAGAAATTTGATTCGATGCGAATTTATTCGCTACGAATTTAACTTATAAAAAGGGTTTCTAGGCTTCAGAGAGCCTTTAAATTAGTGCAGAACACTGTACCTTTAATTTAAATGCCCTTGGAGATGAGGAAGGAGAAGGAGAAGGATGAGAAGAAAGAAGGAAGAAGGAGAAGGATGAGAAGAAGGAGAAGGATGAGAAGAAGGAGAAGAGAAGGATGAGAAGAAGGAGAAGGAGAGAAGAAGAGAAGGATGAGAAGAAGGAGAAGGAGAAGATGAAGAAGAGGATGAGAAGAAGGAGAAGGAGAAGGATGAGAAGAAGGAAAGGAGAAGAAGGAGAAGGATGAGAAGAAGGAGAAGGATGAGAAGAAGGAGAAGGAGAAGGATGAGAAGAAGGAGAAGGAGAAGGATGAGAAGAAGGAGAAGGAGAGGATGATGAAGAAGGAGAAGGATGAGAAGAAGGAGAAGGAGAAGGATGAGAAGAAGGAGAAGGAGAAGGATGAGAAGAAGGAGAAGGATGAGAAGAAGGAGAAGGATGAAGAAGAAGGAGAAGGATGAGAAGAAGGAGAAGGATGAGAAGAAGAGAAGGATGAGAAGAAGGAGAAGGATGAGAAGAAGAAGAAGAAGGATGAGAAGAAGAAGAAGGATGAGAAGAAAGAGAAGGAAGAAGATGAGAAGAAGAAGAAGAAGGATGAGAAGAAGAAGAAGGATGAGAAAAAGAAGAAGGATGAGAAGAAGGAGAAGGATGAGAAGAAGAAGAAGGATGAGAAGAAGAAGAAGGATGAGAAGAAGGAGAAGGATGAGAAGAAGAAGAAGGATGAGAAGAAGAAGAAGGATGAAAGAAGAAGAAGAATAGGATGAAAATAAGAAGAATTCCAAACCGGCAAAAAGTGTATCTGCAGAGCTCCTCTATTTCTGACAGTTCTCTGACATTCACATTTACAGCGGTTGCTTCTCTTCTCTTCATCCTCATCCTCATCCTCAAAAAGAAAAGAAGAGGATGAGGGTGAGGAAAAGAAAAAAAGTAAAGAAAAAAAAGAAAAATTTTAAGCCGGCAAAAAGGGGTATTTGCAGGCTCCCTAAGTGTAATTGCGAGCTCCCCTATTTCTGACATTCCTGACATTCATTTCCATAGCGGTTGAAAC